GTGTGTGCATATATATATATATATATATATATATATAATCTTTGCCTTCTAATTCACTAACAAAATATTTCACTCCAATGTGCCTTAAAAGTAAGACTTTGAAAGTCTATTTTTATCTTCTTGTTTTGATGTAATTAGGATGTACCTGTAATACAAGTTAAAACGTTGTGGTATAGCAATACATGTGCTACTTGAAGTGCTTGTGATTTATAACTGAGTCACGGTGATTTGGATTGTGTTTTGTAACAGTACAACGTAGTAAGTTGCACATATACAATGCAGTTGTTGCACCTATAGGATTCTGCTGTGGTAGGAAAGCATCCAGAAACAATACTTAAACAATGAGCGTGGCTCTGTTCTAGCAGTGCCTTACAGAATTTGTGAATTAATATCTATGAAATTTGATTTTTTCATATGTCATAAGATAATAGTCTTTAAAATTTTTTTTTCAACCATTAAAAAAAATCAGTGTGAGTCCATCACTAAGAATGGTAAAAGCCAGGGGCACCTGGGTGGCTCAGTCGGTTAAGCGTCCGACTTCAGCTCAGGTCATGATCTGACGGTTTGTGGGTTCCAGCCTGTGTCAGGCTCTGTGCTGACAGCTCAGAGCCTGGAGCCTGCTTCCAATTCTGTGTCTGCCTCTCTCTCTGTCCCTCTCCCCCTCATGCTCTGTCTCTTTCTCTCAAAAATTAATGAACGTTAAAAAAATTTTTTAATTTTAAAGATGAATAATGAAATAAGATCTAAATAAATTTTAAAATACCCATCCATCATTAAACTTTTCAGGAAGGTGGTCTCAGTGTGTAAATATGAAGTAAGTCCTCTTTGCCACCCAGATGCCTTACAAGACACGTTTACAAGGATGGTTTTATGATGAAGATTAGTATCTGGTTTTCTCACAATAGAAATTGGTATAATTGCAATAGTTTTCTGCTATTCACGCGTAATCCTAATAGCAATCGGATAATGTCGGTTCCATTATGATCCTCCTGCTTTAGGTTACAGAAATGAAACATGGAGAGGTTGTTAATTAACCATGGTTAAATAGATGCATATATTGTATATTATAGGCACTATAATATATATTACGTTATGTATTATTTATTGTATACAATATGTTATATATTATGTTACATATTGTATATAATATATATAATATATATGTTATATGTATGTTATATATTGTGTATAATACATGTGTTATATATTGTCATACGTCATATATTGTATATAATATTTACGATACATATTATATGTTCTATATTACGCATGCGTATGCTGTGGCAGTGCCAACATATAGCAGATATACAGCAAACACACAACGGTGCCAGGTTTTGAAACAGAATTTTGTGCCCGAGTCCACTTCTAACCAGGACGTCCCAGGGCCTCTCCTTTCCCACGTGTCGCGGGATTGGCGCGAGTTCCTTAGGAGCAGAAAGGCAACGTGAGGAGCGAGGGCTGAGGGTCACTGTGCAGCCTGTCCCCTGCTTGCGGGCGTCCTGCCAGGAGGAACCTCACGGGCGGCTGGAATCCGGCCGACACCGGGCCGCCTGTTTCTCTTTTGCACCAAGCTGCGTTTCCCTCCCTCGCCGGGTTCCTTTCTCAGTGCCTTGTTTTGCCTTCTCAGGTGCCCGCCTTTCCCTGGGAAAAGGAGGAGAAAATGATCAAGTTCCAGGTGAGCTGGAGTTTTCACTTCCGTCACTGAGCGCATTATTTCACTTCTCACTGAGGGGGACACGCTTTTTTGTCTTCCTTGCCAAGAAGAAAGAACTACAGCAGATGTTTAAGACCATCCAGGTGCCACGCAGTTTCTTTTTAAAGCGCATTTTCCTTTCAGTTTCTGTTTTATGTTCTTCTTATTGCACAAACAATAGTGTGCAAGAGAAATAGACATTTTAAAAAATGGGAGGCACCTGACCGGCTCAGTCGGTGGAGTGTGTGTGTGACTCTTGATCTCGGGGTTGTGGGTTTGAGCCCCACATCGGGTATAGAGATTACTAAAAAATAAAATCTTTTAAAAAAAGAATTAAAAAAAGTTTTTTAATGTTTACTTATTTTTGAGACAGAGAGAGACAGAGCATGAACGGGGGAAGGGCAGAGAGAGAGGGAGACAGAATCGGAAACAGGCTTCAGGCTCCGAGCCATCAGCCCAGAGCCCGACGCGGGGCTCGAACTCACGGACCGCGAGATCGTGCCCCGGGCTGAAGTCGGACGCTTAACCGACTGAGCCACCCAGGCGCCCCAAAAAAAGAATTTTTAAAAAAACTTTATTTATTTGAGAGAAAGAGAGAGAGTGTGTGAGCAGGGGAGGGGCAGAGAAAGAGGGAGAGAGAATCTTAAGCAGGCTCCATGCTGGGCGTGGCACCCAGTTCAATGTGGGGCTCAATCTCGTGACTATGAGATCATGACCTGAGCTGAAATCGAGTCACACACTTAACTGACTGAGCCACCCAGGTGCCCCTGCCAAAAAAAAAAACCCAAAAAACAAAAAGTTTTAAAGATGAAAAGGCCCACACATTATTCTGCTTATAAATTACCTTTTTCCACAGTCACTTCATATGCATTATGATATGCAATAATAGCTATAATTTTGAATTTTTTTCACTTAAAATTATTTCACCTAACATGTGTCATCTTTTATTAATTTCAATAAACTGCCGTCCCTGCCCCCTTTTCAACTATGCCCCATTCACAAGTTAAGTTCTTGAGAATTCTTGCAGTTTAAGGCAACAGTATCGGTTTTACTACTGACAATCTTTCCAAAAAAGCAATTTGAGAGAATTCTGATACAATTTATCCTTCTGTTGTAGGGACTCAAAACTAAAAAAAAAAAATCTTTTTTCCTAATGCCTTGGCTACTTTATAAAAAGAATACCTAAAAGGTGGTTCTGTCTAACCGAATCCTACTGAAGCTGAACGCAGAAAAAAATTGTGTGAGATGTTTTCAGACAAAAAGAGCTACATTTTGTTTTTCTTCCCAAGACCTGAAACTTTCTTTGCGTGTGTCTGTGGATGTGTCCTTGTGTTTCACTCCTTGTATATTAACTCATTTTGTTAGGCCGATAGACTTCATTAAAAAAAATTTTAGTCAGACTATAGGACAGACAGGCACTTTGCACCTGTTCCTTTATTCACTGCCCCGAGGGGAATTTAGAATAATCTGCAGTATTAACATGAAGGTAAGACGGCCCTGGAGGTCCAAGTCCTACTCAAGTTCCTACAGCAGACAAGTGTCTGGCCAACTCCAAAGCCTTTCCCTCCTGGATCAAGAGTATCAGGCGCATCTTTTGGGAGGAAAGAGAGGCAAAACAAAACAAAACAAAATCCAAAACCAAAGCCGTGTTCTCACGCAGAGACTGAAGGCCTTGGGTCGTGATATTTAGAGCTCCAGCTAGAACAAGTGCAGTGTTGACCCGGTCTTCATACAAAAGATTTAAACCCCCTGCAGTAAAAAGTTAGAAGACAAACAGCAAAGTAGAATGCGAAGTATTTACAGCGTATTTGGAAGAAAAGGACTGAATGTCCCCCAAACGAATATTTGGAATGCGACAAGAAATAGAGACGCCCAGCAAATACGTGAAGAGGGAATGGTCTTCATTGCTAGCCACCTTTGTAAACATTTTGCTAAATAGCTGGTGTTTACTTTCCATGTCTACTTCTGAGATTATCAGAGATTTTTTTTTTTTTTTTTTGGTATTCATGTCTAGTGTTGGCCAGGATATAGAGGTTTAGGAATTTATACTTGGAAGAAGAAGAAGCAAGAAAAATCTTTTTGGAGGAAACACCTGTCGTTAAGAGCTCAAAACACTAAAAGCTGTCCTTCAGCATTACCATTTCTACTTTTTGGAATTTATTTTAAGGGGATGAGCCAGGGTCTCTGTGAAAGGAATTTTTTTTTTCAGCCTTGTTTATAATAGATAAGCTGAAACTAAGTCAGCATGCATCGTTTGGATCAGTGCATTGTATCCTAGGCCATCAACTCCTTGACTTACTATACAGCCTCGCAATGGGATGAAAGCTGGTCGTAAGAGTGATTATGATAACAGTTAACATCTATCGGGTACTTAGGTCACTCGTTTTATTATCAGTACCCTATGCTGCGCGTAGCAGCATGCAGGTGAGAGAATCAAGAACTTTTCCAAGGTCACATAGCTAGCATGAGGCAGAGCCTTCCCGCGTGAAGCCTTGCCCACATCACAACATTGTAAACGCTGCACACTGCAGAGGGGGTACAGAGGACGAGCTAGACGCTTCAACAGTAAGGGTGACTTTAAAATACCGGTAGCCCATGATGCCACAGTTCCAGGGACTTACCTGTAAGGGTGCCAACAAAAGGGAGCAATTTATTTGTGTGTGTGGCAGCAACTTGGTGTGCAAGGGGTTCTTTTCTTGCAGCCCTTTTGGCGGCTGGAATGAGTAATGTAGAAGGCAAACAGAAGGCAGCTACTTCGATTGGGTCCCCAGATTCTAGAACAGCTCCCCATCCTTGACACACACTTCACGCTGCCCCCTTCCGTAAGCATGGTCTGCGTGTGCTTGGTGTTTGTAGGAGCCGGTGATGTTCAAGGACGTGGCCGTGGTCTTCAGTGAGGAGGAGCTGGGGCTGCTGGGCCCCACCCAGAGGAAGCTGTACCGAGACGTGATGCTGGAGAACTTCCGGAACCTGGTCTCTGTGGGTGAGGACAGGCATGCGGTGACTGAATGCCAGCCGCCTTGGGGTGTCTTTAAATGTGCTCGGGTGTTTCAAGGTCTGGGACTCTTGAAACCACCCTCTGAGCCAAATGAGAGTCCTAATACCCCCTGTACAACACAGACAAGATGTCTCTGTCTAGGCAAAAATCCGTCCTTCCAACTATGTAAATGGGCAAATTGTGCTTCTGCAACACGGTTTGTTGTGAAATCAATTTGGTGAGTTGCTCAGCTTCTTCCCTCCCCCCACCCCAGGGTGCCAGTAATGGTAACTGTTCATTAACTTGATGTTTCAGAGGTTTCTTATTTTTTGGTTTTTGGTTTTTGTTTTAACAGTGTATTTGTAGGGGTGCCTGGGTGGCTAGGTCGGTTAAGTGTATGACTTTGGCTCGGATCATGATCTCACAGTTTGGTGGGTTCGAGCCCTGCATTGGGCTCTGTGTGCTCATGGCCTGGAGCCTGCTTTGGATTCTGTGTCTCCCTCTCTCTCTCTGCCACTCCCCTGCTTGCCCTCTCTCTCTATCTCAAAAATAAATAAACTAACAAAATTTTTAAAAAATGTTTTTGTAAATAACTTCAAATGTACAGAACATTTGCCAAGGTAAAGTAAAAAAGTAAAGAACAAGAACACCCCTATAGCTTCTACCTAGATTCACCTATAGTAACATTATACTCCATTTATTTTTGTAAAATACAATATTTTTTCTCTCTCCAAATATATTTGTGTGTATATATGAAAACATATGTATATGTATGATAATTTTTTCTGAGCTACTGGAGGGTAAATTGCGTACGACATGGCCCTTTATCTCTGAAAACTTCAGTGTGTATGCAGAGTTTGGGAGACCCCAAGGCTACTCTCAGTCTGACACCGGTCGGAAGCTCAGGGGTCCCTCAGATAACCCTCGGCCTCAATAATTCGGTAGAGGGACTCTCAGAATGCACTGAAAGCTGTTATCCCCACGGTTCCGCTCTATTACCTGGAAAGGATACAGGTTAAAATCAGCCACGGGAAGAGGCACCTGGGGCAGAACGCAGGGGGTGTCGGGCACCAGCTCCTAGCGGTCTCTCCCAGAGGGGTCGTGCGCAGCACTAACTGTGCCCGGCGGTGGCGGATCATCCTGCACGTGGAGTGTCGCCAGCCAGGGAGGCTCACACGAGCCAAGGTGCCCAGAGCTTTTATTGAGGTTTGGCCGTAGCGATGTGGTTGGACACCTGTGAGGCTGACCTTAGTTTCCAGCCCCTCTGGAAATCAAGCCGATAGCAGGTGGGCCACAGGCCCCACCAGAAGTCACATTGTAGCCCAGGGCCTCCAGGTGAGAAAGACACTCGCACCAGACGGGAAATCCCCAGGACTTAGAGATCATTTCCCAAGAGCTGAGGACAGAGACCAGGCGTCTCTTTGGGCATGGTTAATTCTTCACGAGACGGTCCATTTTGTAGAAATAGCAATATTCTCTCACGTATTCCCCGTGCAGATATAATACTTTTACATCATCTTTCCTTTGTGCTCTGATTGTAACAGTAGAGCAACTTACATTCCTTAAAGCCGATTTTTCTCTCCCCAGAGCAAGGCCTAGTCTCGAGTCTAGTCTAGCTGCCATGTCTCTGTAATCTTCTTTAATTTGGAACATTTCCACACAGTTTCTTTGTCTTTTATGACAGTGACATTTTGGAAGAACGCTATAATTCCCTTTCCCCCATTTTGCATATAATATTCCCGAGACTTCCCTTGTAATTAGGTTCAGATGATCCATTCTGGCTGGAACTCTATATTGGTAGTCCTTTTGAGAATATCACATATAGAGGCACACAGTCTGTCCCCCGTGGGTGGTGCTAATTTTTTAAAAAATGTTTCTTTGTTTTTGAGAGAGAGAGAAACAGAACGTGAGCAGGGGAGGGGCAGAGAGAGAGAGGGAGACACAGAATCCGAAGCAGGCTCCGGGCTCTGAGCGGTCAGCACAAAGCCTGACGCGGGGCTCGAACCCATGAACCGTGAGATCATGACCTGAGCTGAAGTCGGACGCTCAACTGCCTGAGCCACCCAGGCGCCCCGCTGGTGCTAATTTTGACCACCCAGTCAAGGTATTCAGTTTCTCCACTCTAAAACCACTGCTTTGTTTCTCTTGCAATCATAGGGCGACACTTTTTAAGACTACACAAATATTTCCCTATAGATTTAGCATCCAGTGATGATTCTTGCCTTTTCCAGTCTTTACCATGGTCATTACAAAATGATTTTCTGCCTTAGTACCTCCTTCACAGTTAACAGTCAGCTCTTGGCATTCTGCAGTAAAGCAAGAGCCCCCTATGCCTTAACCATTTGTTTATTTGTAGGGACTTGTGACTTTTTTTTTTTTAATGGATTGTAATATTACTGTAATTATTTGGGTGCTAAAATTGCTCCAAATCTGGACTTTTGTAGTATCCCCCAACCTTGTTTTGAGCACTTCTTTACTTGATGGCATAGCATGCTGTTCTTTGTCCCTCTTTTACTTTACCCTAGCTCTGGAATCATCCATTTCTTGGAGCGTGGTATTTAACAACAAGGTCTGGATACCTAGCCTCCAGTGTCACTGACACTGTGGTGGCTTTGTTTCTTGGCCTCAGGGGATAGAACTAGCAGGTAGGAGTCTGTGTGTGTGTGTGTGTGTGTGTGTGTGTGTGTGTGTGCAGGCACACGCACGCATGCATACATTCACTCGCATACATGTAAGCACATGCGTACATAGGAGTAGATATTTCACTTTCATTAAAAATAAGAGAAATGTTACATAAAATTATACCGAAATACCATTTCTCACCCATGAGATTAGCAAAAATTCAAACACTATACTTTTTTGGGCAAAGTGGCGGGAAATAGAGCCCTCTCCTACATTGAAAGTGGGAACGCAAGATGATACGGTCCTGAAGGAGGGGAATTTGACAGTTATTCAGCAATGGTCCCAGCAATTCACTTCTAGACACTTTCCCTAAAGATAGCAAAGTGCAGTGGTGCCCGGGTGGCTCAGTCGGTTAAGCATCTGACTCTCGGTTTTGGCTCAGGTCATGATCTCACAGTTCATGAGTTCGAGCCCCGCATCAGGCTCTGCACTGACAACACAGAGCCTGTTGGGGATTTCTCTCTCCTTCTCTCTCTGCCCCTCCCTGGTTTGCTGTCCCTCAGAATGAACAAATAAGTAAGTAAGTAAATAAACATAAAGATAGTAAAGTGCAAAAGAGCATTAATAGTATACCACAACTCGTGTAAGAACGAAGGGGAAATAAGGAAATCTATGTATATCTGCTTGTCTTTGTAAGAAGAAACCCAAGAAGGATTAATCAGAAGATCATGAAGTTAGTCTCTTACAGTGGGTGGGAGGTAAGAGTGTGGAAGAGGTGTGTCACATTCATTTGAGTGTGCCTTTCTGTCTGGTCTGGACTCTTGAAAATATGCTAGTTCACCACATGATAAAAATTAAATAAGAAAAAAACAGTAAAAAATGAAGCATGCGAAGGCGCGACAGTCTAAAGCTGAAAGAAAAGTTAAATTATATTTGAAACTAATACCATAGCCACCCTGAAGAGAGAAAAGAACTTATGGAAATAGCTAAGGAACATAGCACGTAACCATATCATATCACCTTAGCATTAGGTACAATGGGAGGGGGGTAGAGGAATGAAACCGGGATCCTGAACAATTTTTAGTGGATTTGCTTATTGTAGTGATAAGGAACAAGCCATTCTGAAACTATTTTTTTTTTAACCTGTATTTATTTTTGAGACAGAGAGAGACAGAGCATGAACGGGGGAGGGTCAGAGAGAGGGAGACACAGAATCTGAAACAGGCTCCAGGCTCTGGGCTGTCAGCACAGAGCCCGACGCGGGGCTTGAACCCACAGACCGCGAGATCACGACCTGAGCTGAAGTCGGATGCTTAACCGACTGAGCCACCCAGGCGCCCCTCTGAAACTATTTTAGATGCATTACAGGTGCCACATTAATTTAATGGAGAATGTATAGTCTTTAAAAAAAAATTTTTTTTTTTACTTTTTTAATGTATATTTATTTTTGAGAGACAGAGCATGAGCAGGAGAGGGGCAGAGAGAGAGGGAGACACAAAATCTGAAGCAGGCTCCAGACTCCGAGCTGTCAGCACAGAACCCGATCCAGGGCTTAAACTCACAAACTGCGAGATGATGACTTGAGCCGAAGTTGGACTCTTAACCGACTGAGCCACCCAGACGCCCCTAAGATTTTATTTTTAAAGATTTGTGTTTTTTTACGTTTATTTATTTTTGATAGAGCACAAGTTGGGGAGGGGCAGAGAGAGAATGAGACACAGATTCCGAAGCAGGCTCCAGGCTCCGAGCTGTCAGCACAGAGCCCATGTGGGGCTCGAACCCACGAACCGTGAGATCATAACCTGAGCCGAAGTCGGACTCTTAACTGACTGAGCCACCCAGGCGCCTCGAAAGTATAGTCTTCTCAACAGAGGGTGCTGAAACATTTGGACTTCTGTATGCGCCTATATCTATGCCTCGCACCTCACCAAAAAATTAACTCAAAATGGTTAAGAGACTGAATGGAAAATGTAAAAGTGTGAAACTTCTAGAAGGAAACGCAGGAGAAATTCTTCATGACCTTGCATTAGGCAAGGAGTTCTTAGACACCAAAAGCATGATTCAGAAAAAAAAAAAAAAAAAAAAAAAAAAAAAAAAAAAAAAGATCACTTGGATTTCGTCAAAACTTAAAACTTCTGCTGTCCTTGCCTTTCTACAGGGAATCAGCCCTTCAAACCGGAGCTTATATCCCAGTTGGAGAGAGAAGAAAAGCTGTTGATGATGGAGACAGAAACCCAGAGAGATGGGTGTTTAGGTAAGAGCCGCCCTGCAGTAACACAGCAGCTAGAGAGCCTCTCCTAAGACATGAGTCAGAACAGGTCAGGCCCTAAGGCGTCTGTCCCCTCAGCTTCCTCTGGCTTTTCACATATTTCCCTATGTTTATTTCCGCTCACTCATTCTGTTCCGCACCGCCCCACTGCTGCCCAGGAGTCCCGTCATGGTCACGCTTCTGCTTCAGCTCACTTGACTTGCTTTTCTCTTTGCCTTGAATGAATGGCTTGGTTAATAGAGGCATGGCCCTCGCTGTCTTCAGTGCCCCCTTGAGACAGCTGGTAGGCGTAAAATAAATCCACACAATCGAGGGATACTCCAGAGCATTGTTTGTTTTCTGATGAATGCCTGTCCTGATTCTAATCATTTAGGTGTCCTTGAGTGTCTATAGACACGTACCCATTATTCTTAGAAGATTGAGGCTAGCCAGTCAACCAAAGTCAGGATCAAAAGTGATCGATGCCAACATTCTTCCCACGCAGCGGTTTCAACTGAGACACTCTTGCACTTACTTCCTATTCAAATGCCCAGCTCTTTCTCTTTCCGTTCTGTCCTCTCTTTTCATCCTCTAGCATCTGAACAGTCTCTTGACCTAGCTACAGTTTTCTTAAAATTCTTTTTTTTTTTAATTTTTTAAACTGTATTTATTTTGAGAGAGAGAGAGAGTGTGTGTCAGCAGGGGAGAGGAGAGAGAGAATCCGAAGCAGGCTCCACACTGATAGCGTGGACACGGGGCTCCATCCCTCAAACTGTGAGATCATGGCCTTAGCCGGCTCAAGAGTTGGCCGCTTAACCAGCTGAGCCACCCAGGTGCCCCAGTTATCTTAAAAAAATTTTTTTTTTAATTTTTTAAATGAATATTTATTTTTGTGAGAGAGAGAGAGAGACACAGAATCTGAAGCAGGCTCCAGGCTCTGAGCTGTCAGCACAGAGCCTATGTGGGGCTCGAACCCATGAACCGTGAGATCATAACCTGAGCTGAAGTTGGATGCTTAACCAACTGAGCCATCCAGACACCCCTTAAAATTCTTATTCAATTTGTTTAAACTTAAGCCCGCAAAACCATCAGTTCACCTATTTCTCCCACCCTTATCCCTGCCCTCTCAAAACCACCATCTCTTCTCTATATCTGCAAGCTTGGTGTTTTGTTGTTGTTGTTTTTAAAATTCTTCATATAAGAGAGATCCTATGGTGTTTGTCTTTCTCTGTCTGACTTACTTCACCCAGCATAATGCCTCAAGGTCCATCCATGTTGTCACAAATGGCAAGATGCTTTTCTTCTTTATGGCTGAATCATATTCCATTTTATTTTTTATATATTTTATTATGTAAGTTTATTGCATATGTTATATATTTATCTGGCACTGAACAGAGAAACTTCCCATGCCTATCCGTGGGTCTCAGACAGCTGTTCTCTCTGTTTCCTTCGATAATTTTAATTCTGTTATGGCTTAATTGGGATATCAAACGTCACTGTGTTAATAATTGCTGCAATTGTGACTTAACTTTATATGTCAACTTAACCTTAACTACACCTAAAGTTTTAACACAACCTTTCATAAATATTTGGTGATGTCTTACATGTGCCAGACATGTTTATCCAGAATTACAATTCCTTGCCACAACTTACTTTTTAGTAGAAAACTTACCACATTTTCCTGAACTAACTTCAGACATAAAGAAAATGTGGGTAAAATGGCACATTGGTAATAAAATAAGACAAATCCGTGTTTTAAGTTACACATATGCTTAGTAACTTTTGATCATTAATAGTGGTTCTGATATCAGATCTCACACTGTGATAGGCTGGCCAATTTTATGCTCTAATATAAAGGGGAGTCTTTGTTTTCTGCATCTCACCCCCTCTGCTCCCACTCTACATAACCTGTTCTTGTTTTCATACATTATATGTTTCCCCTGTGGACTGAATTAAAACTGTGATTCTAAAATTATAGCTTTGTGGCAAGTTGGGTGCTGGAGCCATTTTTCACATGGATGACTAGAGAGAGAATTCTTCTCAAGCTCATGTGGGACATCCACCAAGATAGACCACGTTCTGGGTCATAAGACACATCTTAACAAATTTAAAAAATAGAAATCATACAATTGTGCTCTCAGATCACAATTGAGTTATACTAGAAATCAATAAACTAAGTAACTGGAAAATCCCGAAATGCATAGAGACTCAACAGCACACTTGTAAATAATACGTGGGTCAAAGTAGAATCTCAAGAGAAATTTAAAAATATTTTGAACTAAATGAAAATGAAAACACAGCTCATAAAAACTTGTAGGACGCAGTGGCAGCAGTACTAGGAGGGAAACTTAAAGCCCTGAAGGCATATGTTGGAAGAGAAGATCTAAAATCAATTGTCTAAGGTCCTACTGTAGTAAACTAGAAAAAGGAGAGCAAATTAAATCCAAAGTAAGCAGAAGAGAAGAAATAATAAGAATTAGAGCAGAAATCAAGTAGAAAACAGGAAGCCAATGGAGAAAAAAATGAAAACAAAGACTGGCTCTTTGAAAAATCATTAAAACCAGTAAGCTTCTAGCCAGGCAAACTAAGAAAAAAAGAGAGAGGATACAAATTACTAATATCAGACATGAAGGAGGGGACATCACCCAGGTCCTGTGGGCATTAAAAGAATAATAAAGGAATACTGTGGACAAACTCTATGCAAATATGATAGCCTCGATGAAATGGACCAATTCTTTGAAAGACGTAATTTGCCAAAACTTACGCAAGAAGAAATAGACGATCTGAATAAGCCTATATCTGTTGAAGAAATGATAATTAAGAACCTTCCAAAAAGAAAGAACTCATTTAGTCGTGGGGTAAAGCAGTGGAGACAGACAAGAAAATCCTCAAAGGTTAAATATACTCTGATAGAGCTAAGTCTCAGATGTGGTTAGGAGAGTAGCCAGCTTTGTAAATATTTGTAATCAAAACATTGTTACTTTATCCTCTACTGCCTGCAAAATGCCTTGGTTTCTCTTACTATTTAAAAAGCTCAGTAAGAATGCAGGCTCATCTCAGCCTGGATTGCCTGAGTTGATATTCTTGACTAATTTATATTAAAGGAGAAGAGAAAAAGAAAATCTAAACTGAGATTTTTTTTTTCTTAATTCATTATAGCTAACTGTTTAAAGGGATTATTTGGTATTTACAACACATATAAAATTTTTGTTATTGAATTGGTTCATAGAGGATGTTGGAATGATTGACTTTCTCAACCTCTAAAGCTAAAGGACTACTAAGAAGATGAAATAAATTCTCAGCCTTCTTCAAATAGATTTTTTTTGAAAGAGACAGTGAGAGAGAGAGAGAGAGCTTGGGAGGGGTGGAGGGAGAGAGAGAATCTTAAGCAAGCTCCACAGCACAGAGCCTGATGCAAGGATCGATCCCACAATCCTGGGATCATGACCTGACTGGGATTATAACCTGAGCCAAAATCAAGAGTCAGATGCTCAACCTACTGAGCCACCCAGGTGCACCTTAACAAGACCTTTTAGTGTTTTTTTGCAGTGCATATTTTCTCCATCAAATTCATTTATTCAGTTCGTTTATGAATTTGACTTAACACAATTTCTTATCAGCACCCTGCCATTGATACTAAGAGAGAACCTAAATGTTGAGAGAGGGAAAGGAAACGACAAGGTGTTTTGGTACACCACTGGCTAAAGGAAATTAAAGTTAATGTCATTAAATGTGTGATCTTTTCCATAGAGCCTGAAACTAAGTAAAATGACCTTTCTCCCCCTTCCTGTAATGCTTTCACATTGTGAAGCCACTGGTCAAGACGAAACTTTAATCTCTTAAATATTTGAGACAGTCATATCAAAAATGATGTACAAATTTCTGTTGAAAGAGCTGCTTTGTAAAAAACTGGGTTTTGACCAGCAAATCTCTTTTCATGTCCTCAAGCCACCATGTCAGTCCCAAAAGATATTAAGTATTTAAACTGTATCTTTATGGATGCATACTGAGTGTTTTTGATGATACCAAGTAAAACTATAAGGATTATGATGAACTCCAGCTGGACACCAAACTTCTCACATATAGGCTATTAACTTTGTCTGCCTCCTGTAGTATGTCCCTTCATTTCATGTTTAAGTGATAAAATATTAGTGTAATAACTGGAAACTTTGCTTTTGAGAAGCCAGAGACATCACTAAGTGTTTGGCTTTTTTTGAAGTATTGAGAGGCGTTATGTATGGATGTGCCATAAAGTGTTACCCTGAAGTTACTGCAGTGTCCCACAGCCTAGTGCCACCCTAGTCATCAGTGTGACATTTTGTTTCTTTTCTTATCTTTTCTTTTCTCTTCTACTCTCTTCTTTTCTTTCTTTTTTTTTAAAGTTGGGGATAGTAGACAAAGTGGGTGGGGGGCTGAGTTAAATGGGTGATGGGCCTTAAGCAGGGCACTTTTTGGGATGAGCCCTAGGTTGTCATACGTAAGAGATGAATCACTGGGTTCTGCTCCTAAAGCCAAGACTACACGCTATGTTAACTAATTTGAATTTAAATTAAAAAAAAAATATTTATGGAAGAAAATTAACCTTAATAGAACATTTTCAGTAAAATAAAAATTTTAATTGGAAAAAAAATAAAATGCAGAACTAAAAAAAATAAAGTTGGAGATAGTATGGGTTTACTGGTAAGATTTTATACAAGAAGAAATACACTGTTTTGAGTTAGTTTAAAAGTTAAAAAGACTCAATCCAGAAGACATTCCTGCGACCTTTGCTTTTCTCATCAGCAGGTGCTACCCTAAGTGTAGCCCTGCCTCTCATACAGCTTTTCAGCCTTGTGGCAAAATCGCCATCACCACCTTCCCATGAAAAACAACATATCTTCATGCCCTCTTAGGTCTGTTTTACTGCTTTCTTTTCTGGATGCTATAGAGAATGTGCTGCCGGGTGTTAGGAAGGTACATGTTATGATGTCAGCCCTGCTGAATCCAGTGTCGGTAGGGAGGTACTCTTGGATTTGAGGATCCGCTGTCTGCTAGGAAGCTGAGTGTTAATGACTAAGCCACAAACCATTTCTACCCAAATGTGCCTGTCTTCAACTCTTCTGGTGCTTCAAATTTTCTGAACATTGAAGTATTTTTCCACTAAAAGGACATAAGCCAAAGTCAGTGTTCATTGAGCTTTTGGTTTTTGGTGATTTGCCTCAAAGTACACCTCCAGGTGCCAGGGAACTTGGCTGTGCTCACCTCCCTCAGCCTCCTTTTTTCCCCTGATGTCTTTGGAGTTGAATTCTGTCACAGTGTTTCACATTCCAACCTATACGATGGCCCTTGCTAATTGTGAAATATCTTTTGAAAAGAGGTGAAAGTGATATGGCTTACAGTGACTTAGAAGAATTTATTATTCTCATGAAGATAAAGAGTTTATAGGGGCCATATGATGCCTCATGCATAAAGGTCTGTGTTTACCTTTGCACGGTACTTAACACTGTCTCCTAACACACATACAGACGAAAACATTGCCATACCCACATGCCAGAGAGAAAAAAAGTTTTTTGTCCACTTGAATCTCCATTCTTCCCAATTTGAGAATTCCCCCTTCTTGGGATCTCCAGGCAATCCATGATAAACCCATAAGTAATATGGATATGGTTTTACTAGACCTTTTGAACAGGGCCACCGTGTTTGATATTTCCAGGTTGCGTTGCAAAGCCCTGATTTTGAGGCATACAGATAGCTTGAATTATGTGGACCTTACTTATATTCCTGATACAACTGAAGAAGAACCAGAGCCATTTTCTAAGTATTCTTAGACATAGTAACATGAATTTTCCTGTAATTTCATGTCGTGACCTAAGTGCAAAATCTTAAAGTCTCTGAATAAAAACTTCCACTTCTGCACATATCTAAATTCTCTTTATCATTATAGGAACCAAGAGTCAACATAATATGGAGAGTAGTCAAGCAGTGGGATTAGGCTACATTTCCCCCAAAGAGCCTTCTTCCCGGAAGACCTGGCAACAAAGTACAGGCGGGTTAACCAGGTGTCAAGATGCCATGAAAAATTTTCAAAGGAATATTTCTCAGTTGCAAAACCCAGGTGCTTTCCCCTGCCAGGTTTGGGCAGGAGTGCCAGTTCATGTTCCCGAAGATGAGAACTACATATTGACTCATATAGAGGATGTTTCCAATTGCATAAAAAGTCAAGAATTTCCATCTTGGAGAACCCAGCATTCTTGGAGGAAAATGTATCTGACAGAGTCACATAATTATCAGTGTAGGTGTCAGCAAATTTTGATGAAAAATAATTTCTGTAAGTGTGACAGCACCACTTGGATCACACCACACAATGATAATCTGGGAGTACACAGATCAGAAAAAATTTACAGCTGCCACGACTGTGGAGAAAACCTCATGAAGGTTTCACTGCTTAATCAAGACTTAATCAAAACGGGGCAAAAGCCCTACTCCTGTAATGAGTACAGAAAAGCCTTCAGTGACGACTCCAACTCTGAAGTTCATCAGCAGTTACACTTAGAAGGGAAAACCCATACCTACAGTCCATGTGGAAAGGGCTGTAGTTATAGTTCAGTTCTTCATATTCATCAAAGTGTTCATAGAAGAGATGATTGTGTTTTTGAGAGTTCACCTCTGCAATCCCATCAGAGAGTACATACAGAAGAGAAGCCATATAAATGTGGATATGGTGAGAACTTCAGTCAGCCCTCCTCTCTCAACACTTGTGGACTTATTCACACGGGACAGACGTCCTATAGATGCAATATTTATGAGAAAGCCTTCAATCATAGCTTAGACCTTAATAGTATTTTTAGGATCCATACTAAGGAGAAACCCCATGAATATGAGGAGAATGGGGATGTCTTTAATCAGAGTTCTTGTCTCCAAGTCTACCAGAAAATCCACACTGGAGAGAAACTATACACAGATGTAGAATATGAGAAGGGTTTTCTTTGTAGCTCAAATCTTAACATTCAGCATAGAGTTCACATGGAAGAGATTCCTTATAGTTCTGAGGAATGTGGTAATAACTTCAGTCTGGACTCACATTTGCAGGACCTTCAGATAGTCCATACTAGGGAACAACCATATAAACATTATGCATGTGGTAACAGCTTCAGCCAAAATTCATATCTTCAAGGTCATCAGAAAATTCACATCGGAGAGAAAGCTTACAAGGACTGTGGGAATGGCTTCAGTTGGAGTTCAAAACTTAAAGATCATCAGAGAGTCCACACTGGAGAGAAACCGTACAAATGCAATGCATGTGGTAAAAGCTTCAGTCATAGATCAGTTCTTAATGTTCACCAGAGAGTCCACACAGGAGAGAAACCTTATAAATGTGAGGAGTGTGATAAAGGATTCAGTCGGAGTTCATACCTTCAAGCCCATCAGAGAGTCCACACTGGAGAAAAACCATACAAATGTGAAGAGTGTGGGAAGGGCTTTAGTCGCAATTCATACCTTCAAGGCCACCAGAGAGTTCACACTGGAGAAAAACCATACAAGTGCGAGGAGTGTGGGAAGGGCTTCAGTCGGAGTTCACACCTTCAAGGCCACCAGAGAGTTCACACTGGAGAAAAACCATTCAAATGTGAGGAGTGTGGGAAGGGATTCAGTTGGAGCTTTAATCTTCAAATTCATCAGAGGGTTCATACAGGAGAGAAACCCTATAAATGTGGAGAATGTGGTAAGGGCTTCAGTAAGGCCTCAACCCTCCTGGCCCACCAGAGAGTCCACACAGGAGAGAAGCCATACCAATGTGATGAGTGTGGTAAGAGCTTCAGTCAGAGATCTTATCTTCAAAGCCATCAGAGTGTCCACACTGGAGAGAGACCATATATATGTGAGGTATGTGGGAAGGGCTTCAGTCAGAGAGCATATCTTCAAGGTCATCAAAGAGTCCACACTAGAGTGAAACCATATAAATGTGAGATGTGTGGGAAGGGTTTTAGTCAGAGTTCACGTCTTGAAGCACATCGGAGGGTCCACACAGGAGGGAAACCATACAAATGTGAGGTATGCACAAAGGGCTTCAGTGAGAGTTCACGTCTTCAAGCGCACCAGAGGGTCCACACAGAAGGGAGGCCCTATAAATGTGAACAGTGCGGTAAAGGTTTCAGTGGGTTTTCCAGTCTTCAAGCTCATCACAGAGTCCACACTGGGGAAAAACCATACAAATGTGAGGTGTGTGGAAAGGGCTTCAGTCAGAGATCAAACCTTCAGGCTCATCAGAGAGTCCACACAGGAGAGAAACCATACAAATGTGATGCGTGTGGTAAGGGTTTCCGTTGGAGCTCAGGTCTACTTATTCATCAGAGAGTCCATAGTGGTGACAAATTCTATAAAAGCGAAGAGTATGGTAAGGATTATCCTTCATCAGAGAATCCATACAGAAATGAAGATCTATAAAACCGTTATATTTGTTTTGAAGTCCTCAAATGGGAACTGAAATTTTCCACTCCCTAGAGTTCTTATAGTAGACAAAATTTCTTTCATGAAAATGTTTCTGCCCAGCCTCAACATTCACAATAGTCAGGAGACCACACTATGGAGACATCTAACAAGAGAGTCTCCGTAAGGGGTTTTCTCACAATTTTAAGATTCATTGCACGTGACTTGTACTAGGGCTTATAAAAGACCAGAGTAACAAAAGTACAGTGAAGAGCGTGCCTAAATCTATGTTTACTCTAATGTAAGCTTAATGAGAAAAGGGGCTTCACTTATTTACTGAGTTTTTAAAACCATGACATTGCATAACTCAGTGTAGGTGCTCAGTACTTTTTACTAAATGACTAAAGATGTATAAAAGTGTCATGTTTGAAAATTTTATTAAGCTTATTTACCCCAAAAAGATCATTTAAAAATGTATTTGGAGGAGGAATCCTGCAAGTAACCTTAACATAAGCACTTCAAGTGGGAAAATATTTGAAATGTAGAATATCAAGCAATATTGTCATCTGAAATTACACGAATTGGGTTGTAACCCTGTTGGGATTGGTTCCCATCCTTTGTCTTGTCTTAAACAGGGATGAGCTGAATTCTTATCATTTGGTCTCTTTCTATACAGTATTCCATCAGTTTAAGTTTAGCGCTGTGTGTTTGTGTGTGTGTGTGTGTACACATATGTGCACTTTAAATGACAGTACAAATTGATAAACAATGTTTCTGGTTGCACTGCATTTTACATAATTGACTTTTTACTCCTGCCCTGTGTGTTAAGGCAGAGTTTTCCTGTAATATTTGCAAAGTGTCAGAAATGGTTGCTAATGAAAAGTACTTTCTTAATAAATGTCAAAATTACAATACTTTGCTTTTTTAGTCTTCACGTTTCTGTCAAAGTTCTTTTGATTTGATTTTTGTTTTTAGTCAAAATTTTTATTGGAAACTTTTTTTTTTTATTTAAATTCACCTTAGTTAACATACAGTGTAGTCTTGGCTTCAGGAGTAGAACCCAGTGATTCATCTCTTACATATGACACTGGTCTGACTGATTTCCACCTGGAAACTTAGAATAATAATTTATGATAAGGCCATCTTAATAATATAAAGAGATTTGTACAATGAGGGTAATTTTTTTAAACTAGAAATAAATAGATAAATTTCTCCAAGTTCCTATAAATATGGAATTATAGAAAGTAAGGAATCAATCTATAATGATAGGAAAGAATTACACATATTGTGTCAGTGAAAATGTGGATTGTACCTTCAAAATATCCAGTTAATTTAAGTCTGCATACATATATGTTCAAATATGTGTTTCATAGATAATGTGTGAAAGATTACTCACCATCATATATACAACAGTTTTCTCTGACAAGCAAAATTTTGGCGTAGTCTTTTTTTTTTTTGTACTTCATTTAAAATTTTTTTCAATTAATTTTTTTTAATTCAATTTTTTTTCAATTAACATTTACCAATTTTACCAAAGTAATAAACTACTGAGTTGTCATCCTTTATATTTAAGAATCCATAATGTGATTGCTTTATTTCACTAGACGGCATTATGGCCAAAACTAAAGAATAAAATCTGTGAGGTTAATTTTCAAAATTCTCTAGGTTTCTAAGGATACAGATAAATTAGGTGTCAGCAACTTTTTCTTACTCTGAAATTTCTTTAGGTCTCAAAGGCCATATAGCCTAGAATGCTCTAGTACAATTCACTAGTATTATAAACTGGTGCATCATAATTTTTCTCAGATTTCTCCCGTTGGATGAATGGGGCGACCAGAGCACTCCCTTACCCTGGCTTTCAAGGTGCTAAGTCAAGTTGCACAGTGTCAGACATTGGGGCTTCTAATGCATTTCTTTACTGTCATCACTTCCAAGGGAAAATCATGAAAGCTCATGGTGGTTTTATCATTTAGGAAGCTTTTAGCTGTGAGTAACAAGAAATGTAACTTAGAGTTGCTTAGACCAAAAATATTTCTCAGCTCATATAAATGAAAAGATTCAGGCAGGGTAAGATGTGGGTCTGGGCTTTGTATTGCTTTTGTTTAACTCTCTCACCTCTGTCCTTTTATGTGAACTCTTGTCTTTAGATTGCTCACAAGATGGCAGTATCACCTGCTTTTTTTTTTTTTTT